TTTCAAGTCTAGAATAAAATGTTAGCGTTTTGTAAAGCAGTTAATTGAAAGAGCACGATAGGCAATGTAGTTTGTCACCAATAAAGAGTGGGTCATTTGTTGGGTTTTTCTTGAAGTTAAAAATAAAAGCGCAAAAGGCGTGTTAAAGTTTAGAATCGCTTGTCAAAATTCATATGAGCAGTTTCTTAATAATATATTTCCTCATTGCTTAGCCTTCGTTTATATGAATTGGCTTGCGTGGAGGTGATTGGCTCCTTGCATTTCTGGACACAAAATGGTAGGTGGCTTTGTAATAGATAATTTCTAGGGCGCCCACAAAACCCTTAGGCTTAAGACAAAACTTGGAAAGAAACAGAAGCAGAATCGTACGTTGCCTTATTGGGCTCGCTCGCGTACCGGTAACCGGATTCGGTGAGTTTTCGGTTGGGTGTTTCATGTGGCTACACGTAGATATAATGCTAAAAGGCGTCACTGGAGGAGAACCAAGTTAAAGTTGTGAATGGTGTTGTTGATTCTGCAAGTAAAGTTTTTGTGGCGTGTTGAGTTCTTCAGTGTTACTTATGTCAGTCGGGTACCGGTGGCGTTGCTTTTGCACCCAACTTTGAATTTGTGGTATTCCGTCGCGAGTCTATGATGATGGAGAAATGTTCCATCTTGACGTGCCGGCCCTTGACGTATCCGAGTATGTTTTGACTAAATGGTCTCTAGGTTCAGCGTTTTGTTTTGCTTCACTAAGCTGTTAAGTGCGTGGCAGCTTGAGAACTTTGTATCGAATTAGGTTTTTGGATAAATTGTGGGATGTTTTTTTTGACTGCTATGCAATTTTGTTTCCTACTGTTGTGCTGCACAACTGGTGGTGTGATGGATTTTTGGTGAAATCTGGTTGGTGTTACCCATCCTTAGTGACGCTTGAGGAGTTGGGTTGTTTCAATGCTTAAGTTCTATAGTTCAGGTTTTTGTGGTGAGGGTGTAGTCTTCTTAGTTGCGCTTGTGACCCAGAAATGGGTGCCTTACCGGTGTTTCCCTGTGTTTCGGGCGGTTGGCACCTGGTTGTGTGAATTCCACATTGCGCAGTCATGTGTTGGCATTAGTAGCACGGTCGGTAGATGGACCGGCTGGGCTGATTGTGGTTGTGGGTTCTGAGGTTGTCAAGTTGGTTTTCCTTGGTTGCGAGGCCCTAGCAACCGTCTCACTGATAGCCTGTCCGGTGGGTTGGTTGCTTATTTTCCCCTAGGCGGGGGTTGCCGGTGGGGACGCTAACATCATCTTCGAGAGTTGCGGTTCGGTTGTTGATTCTCCCACGGGTTAAATTGGTGACTCCTGCAGTCACACCAGGTTGTGAGTGTTTACGGTCGGGTGGTCCGCCCGGTGTGTTTATTTGGCGTGCCTAGGTTGTCTTCGTTCATGCCTGCGTTATTTTATACTACATAGTCCTCAACGCAATGGGAACTTGTGACAACTGCATTTTCCCGCATTATGGAGTCTAGGTTATGCGGTGATGTCTTTCCAAAATGGCTATTCTGAACTATCTTGGTGTGGGAGCGTGACAGACTGCGTTTAAAGATGCGACACTCTAGGGGGGTCTGGTTTCTGCAACAATTCTGGTTGAGTGGAGTTATCCAGCATCAGAATGGTTGCGTGGCTCTTAAAATGGCGTTAATTTTCCTGTACATTACAGAGCGCGCCCTAAGGTGAGCTTACCACTACGATTGCTAGCGACGCCGACTGTCCTACCATCGTTGACAGGCAGGAGCAAATTAATTTTTATTACTTTCTAGATTAGAGTATAGTAGTGGTTGTAAGCATTGGGCTTGTCATTTTAAAGCATGCTCAATCGGAGCGAAAAATGGGTTAGGAACTGTGCATTTCTGACAACTTGTCCTGCGGCTTTTATCAAGTCCTGTGTTGTTTTTCCAAAGGAAATACCTGCAGTGTAAACCTTTTAAAATTCAGATAGTGCGCATTTCTGCAGCAAGCGATCTCGTAATGCGGACCCTGTAATAAATGACTGAATGTGGAATCATTTAGGATTGATGCGCATATGTTCTTCTGTATTATGTACAGCTGATGGTAAACTACGGTTTATTTTCAAATACCATGGTGCTAAAAGTGACAGTTAAAGAAAGACTCACTCGTTCGCCCTTATTTGGTGTCTCCACAAGCATCTGTCTTAGTTCAGTTTTATTTGGCTAAGAAGGAGTCGTCCACTGCACTGCGTCTTGAGAGAGTACTTTATCATTTAAATCTCTTGCCTCATATCTACTTCTGGACACGATTTTGATTCCGACTGCAGTCTCGGCTATCTATTTTCGAGGCTCGGCTTCACCCCTGTTAATACCTTGAAATGGGAAATCTTTTTACCCCAATTAACCTTGTCTCACTAGGATTTGTTCGCTCCAGCGATGTGCATTACGAGTAAAATGGGGCCTGTCATTCGTGGAGGCTTTACCACCTCAGCGAATCACACATGACTGCGAGTTTATCTCCAATCTAGGTTCAATATCAGTTTTGCCTTTGTAGAGGCGGCCGACGATGAAAGGCATCACCTAAATAGAGTTGTTATATTCTTTTCTTATCCACCGTCGGAGCGGCAGATCCGACCGTGCATCTAATCAAAATCTCGCCGTCCAAATTCATGCAATAACCCATACTTTGAGGTATACACAGAGCTCACACTGCTGCGATGGGAGCATCGATGCCTTTTTCATCGAGGAATTAATTACAAAAACTTTTCACAACTCATTGTTATTTCCATAGCCTAGTAAGCAAGAAATGATGAACCAAAGGCTGATGTATTTGCGCTCAATTTCAAAGGATGAAAACGTTATTTGCTGCAGAATGATGGCTGTTTCAGATATTTTCGACAGTTGAAAACGTCACGCGGTTGTCGTTATACCTCGCCGCAATAGTCTGCTGTTACTTGTAGGTGTGTATACAATGCGGTTGATATGTGTTGCTTTAAAGCGTCGGTCTATCGGTTATCTCTGTTCTGGCATGTACAACTTCCATTCCTCTCCTATATCGGCCCCTCAAGTGACAAGTCGGCTGAACCTGATGAATGTGCTTGGAGGTTGTCTGCTTTACCTACCGACTTGAAAACAGGGCCTTCTCGTCAAATTGGGTATATGGCAGTCAGAGAAGGCGCTGTAGTTGAATGGACCACCACGAAAGAATCTGAATGAGTTGGTCGTAGTGGTAGTTTATTCAAAGATGAATGCATTGCTTTCATGGCAATCATCCATTCTCCATCCTGAAAAGTTAGAAAAGTAGCTAGAAGTTGACGCTTGAAGAACGTCTAGCAGCGCCTAGTGTAGGCAAATAAACCATTAGGTGAATTCTGCACAGGCGGAAAGGCCATGGTGGAAGGCGAGCAAATGGAGTCAAGTACCAACAGATGACAATAGGCTTAAAGATTGTAGGCTCGCTCTTCACCACAATTCACATAATGAAATCGCGTTAATGTTAAGTTTTTAGATAAATGAATTTTGATGAACATTGGCTTTCGTATTGCAATGTTAAACGAAGGAATTCATCATGGCTTACCTCCTGACAGTTCGTTCACTAACCCACACTTCTAGGGCACGCATCACTTCATCCTCGCAAAATATGTTTGCATTTTGCGTGATCCGTGCCGTGGACTGTTCACTGTGAATTGTTTACTTGTTGAAGGCCAAATGGGTAGGTCTAGGACCGATCTACCCGACATTCGTTAACGAAGTGTAGGCAGAGCTTATCCTTGGGAAACAGTCGGGACTAGTGAGTAAGTACTTACGTCAGTCAGTCGGGTGAGAGCTCTGCCCTCTAACTCAAGACCTCTTACCACTTAACTGATCCGTTTCAAGATACTAACTTCATATTGGGGGATATCGTATTACCTAAGAAGTTTCCCAAAGTTCCTCCTGGGATTCACTAACTTTTCTGGGCATCAGGCGAGACATTTCGGCTATGAATCTAACAATTTGGTGCCCCATTAGGTGAAAGATTATGCATTGCAGTGGCAATTATTTCAAAGTTTAAAGTAATCCGGGAAGCCTTCTGTAGTTGCTTCATTTTTCCACTAAAAACTATGTAAATCTGTTTGATTATTATGTGTATGATGTTAGGCGGGCCTCCTCAACCTTCCACGATCCGGTGCCTAGGACTGTGGCCTGATTCTCTGCCCATTCTCCCGACCCCTACTGCTTGCTCATGGTGGGGCTAATTCTCAACTGCTGTTTTATAGTTCTTCCAGGAGTAGCCTAAATCCTAAGGCAAACTCATCCATACCTGCAAAAACTTTTACCAACTTTCCAAAGACGACAAAAGACTGCTCCCACTACTTATGGTCATGTGCTGATGAGAATAACCCCAGAGATGGTGCTAATGTACTGACAAACGGTGCGCTGGAAGACAAAGGGTTTTTAGGTTCATGAGTGCCATAAAATTGAGACACCTCATTTGATGGAGAGCAGTCAAAAATGCAAACGCGGAATTTTACTAGAGTGTTGTCAGTCTACTCAGTTGGTCTCACCACCAGAAGTACAGACTGATTTGTTGTGGAGGGCTCTCACTTGGTGAACTCATTGGCAAAGAGATTACACACCGTCGGTTGCCAAGCTGCCTAATAAATTTTGAAGTGTTTTGTAACGCAGTTTTTCCATGAAATTGTACAAATACAGTAGAGAGTGCAATATGAGTTTCTCATTCCCAGTGGATAGTCATTACCTCAAATATGCAACAACATCCGCGTTCCCGAAACTTCATATGACCACTTGATTTTGAACTAAACGGTGAATGGAATGAGACGAACCGAAGATACTGCACAATAATCGGTGTTTCAACTTCCACAGTTTGAGCGTTCTCACTTCATAACGAGCTCCTATGTTGAGGTGTTCTTCACTGCACCTTGTATTCGCTCTTCTGCTAAAAGTGACCTCCCGAGCAAGCTAAATTGAGTTATCAAACAGGGTTTTGGAAGTTTGCAACCTACTTTGCTAAATTACAGTTGGTAGTTGGGGTGTTGCATATTACTAAACCCCTAAGAATGTGGAAAACGACGGACTTCAAAAGTGATGTTTGTATCTGCAATAACTTCTTTCCTAATGGAAAGCTCTCATTTAGGCCTGTTGATGCACCCGAAATGGAGTGGTGGGGTCTGCAAGTACTTCATTCCTTCAAAAATTACTCGTGGTCTACTTACCATTCAGCAATCAAGTAGTCCGTCTTGCACTCTTGTAGTAGTTTTTTGAAGAAAATGCTAGCTATGTTATGAGCACTTGACAAACTGGCGACAGTCGCACTATGGTGTAACTAATCCTCTTAGTCAAAATTAAATGGAGTCATTTTAGTTCCCTTCAACTTCAAAGGAGTCTTAAAATCTAAAGGTGGATGGAGTGCTAGAAGTAGTTACAGTGTGCGCCTTCAAATTAGCGGCGGTGTTTTGATTTCAGTGGGTCTGCTTGCCTATCTGGTTGAAATTCATCACATTCCTCCTTCTGCTTCTTACATGAAGTCGGGCCTGAATAATGTACGTAGCTTCAGTATTTTCCCTAAAGCTTTTTAGCGCTTTAACCACTTTTTTACCTAAGCACAGAGAGGGGAAGGGATGAGAGGATAGGAGCTAGGAAACCAGTAGAATGAAAGAATAAATGACGCAAACAGAGGTATGATGCCATGCCACCGTCATACGGAATGAATTGTGGTTGATTGAGTGAACTCGCTTTGTATAAATCATAATTAGGCCAACTGACCTACCGCCTTATCCACAAACCAGTCACTAAAGCATATACCCTGTCAAAGTAAGTGCAGAAGTTTATTACGTCGCTGCCAGAAGGTTGAAGGCAGGCGAAGGCTGGAGAAGGTAGAAACAATGAGATGTCCACAGGATGCGCTAGCGCTACACTTGCTTTGCTAACTCTCATAAATAGGCTTGTTATTTTTCCCAAACGGTTACAAATATTAGTGTAACTTGTCTGGTCTTCAAGTACGCAAGATACCACTTTTTGGACACTTCCATTCTCCCAATCTAAATTCTCCAATGTTTCCCCTGATTTACGAAGTTTTACGAGCAACCATCTGGCATTTTGTCCAGTGGACAGATCACTGGTGTGAATTCATGTGCAAAAGTATGTTTGGCATGCAATTCCGTCTATGACTTCAACACTTTCTGTTAAAAACGAGGTTTGACAATCCACTACCTTGTCTTTAGGCCGTGTCCTATGGGCGGTGAACACCCTATGTGTGCGTGTGTCTGTGTATGTTTGATTTGACTTACAATGGCAGCCCCTGGAGTGGTCCATTAGGTTGGGCTCCAGCTCTGTCCTCAGTCCCATTTTTTTAAAGACGCCAATTACCGAGGTCAGTATGCCACTTTTCCAATCAAATTGTGCTAAAATAGACACAGGTGTAAAAACGACACAATTTGAGAACGTTCTGTTAACACTATAGAGGTTCCAAAATGGAAAGGAATAATACCGTGCTTGACCGAACATTTCATTATGGCATGAGTTGGAATAATCGCATTAAATACAATCATAGCCTAACTTTAAGGCAAGTGGACCAGTAAATCGCAATGTATGTGGATGCAGAACGAGCATTTGATTAATACACACCCAGATGAATGGAGAATGGGTAATGTTTCTAGTAGTGAGAGAAACATCCTCTCAAGCAGTGGGCCGGTATTATTTTTTACTACCACTGCAGTACAAACATGAGGCAAGAAATGTTAGCAAAAATCTTGCCAGCAGAAAGTGATTTGGCTGTAGGATACCAATTGTAAAGCTCCACCTAAACCACTAGGAAATAATTTCATGCTCAGGACTGATGCGGAGTACTACACCATAAGGCAAATTACGCTTATACGAACCTCTATCAGATACGAAAGACTCCTGGTCTGTGAAATGACCACGTAGGTAATTTACTCTGTTTTACCACCCCAATGTCGTCACTTATGACCATAAAATTCAAAAGACAATTAAGTGATCCACTGCTACCAATACTTCTTCGCAGGATTTAATTTGTAGTGGAACTGAGACGCCTGACCTTTGCGTGGCTGCAGTTAGCGTCAAGTACCAGCACTTTGGCTGTTTTGGAACATTAGTAATGACACAAATTACTCCTATTTACTCAAAGAAAACTAACAGAACGCCCAAACCAAACCCTGTAAAGTTTATTTTGAGGCCAAGACACAGGTTTCGATTTCATTCAGGCTACGATTATGCATGTATTTTTGTGGAAATATTGAGATGTCAAACTGCCTAAGTAGGCATCGGTACATATGGAAATTGGAAGGATGCGTGCACGAAGTGTTTCCGCGTACGAAATAGGAATGAAGCTTTAAGCACCTCAGTATAGCAGGTATAGGAGTTGGTAAATTTTGCATGATACACTTTGATATACACACTAGTGTAGCTTCGCATCAGACCCTGTAGTTTGGATGCAGATTAACTGGTGTTGGCTAATCGACCTCCTGCTCCATGCTGTTTGAACGAATCCGAGCGGTTATTTTTGGTAGCAATGAATTTAATTACCCAACTTCTTATGTGAGTAAAACGAAATTAGTTGTTAACAAAAAATGGAATAAATTTTCGATGGTGGTCCTTAATGCGCAAAGACTATCCATTGCGGGGTTGCCAGTGCAAAGGTACAATTTCCCCTCTGTAAGAAGTGCTCCCCACATAGCTTTTTCGGGCATACGGCCTTTCTAAATGCTGTCAATAAGTATAAGACTTTGGTACGCATTTTGCTTTTTAAAATGGTTGACTAGGTGTGACCAGTTTGCCCATCAAGGACGTAAAAGATGGGCAATTCAGCTTAATCTATTGAGTAAAATTATTGTTTAGGTCTAAAAGGAAAAGTGATAAGTTCAATAATTGTTCTAAAGAAGTAGCCGGGAGTCAAATTTCATCCTGATTCAGTTTGACATATGTCCCCGATTTGCCCATTATGTCTGAGGGCAGGTCTTTGTAAACACCAAACTGATTCCTGCATTCTTTCGGTCGCTTCGACTCGTCCACTGCAATTGCAAATGTTGCACCAACGTCTGGAAGTGACTTCATCACATTCGCCTGCTTGTCTAAGGAAATAATGAGAACACATCATTAAATGTCATTTTCATGTATCTGGATATCCTGTCTCGGTAACGTTCCCTGAGACACACAAGGCAACGGATACATCAAGTCAACTTCATGGAGGAAGACCATTCGTAGGAAAATGACTACTTCATGAAACATATTCCATCTTTAATGAAACATTACCTCTGCATCTACAATCGAACACAATTAAGGATTGGTAGGGAGCGTTTCGATGACGTTGCTCCTCATTTCTCATTTGGTCAGCAATGTCTGCAGATGTAAGAGACTGAAGAAATGGACTTCTCGTTGTGTCGGTGTATCTCCACCGTGGATATTATTGTGGTAGTAAGTCTCAGCTAAACATACACAACTAAAGTTATGCGTAAAGGAAAGTCTACCCTAAACTGTCAATCCAGATAGCACAATTTTGAATAATTAACTGTCAAGAAGATGCATCACAGATTAAAATGTCACTCTTCCGTTCTATTTTGCAAAAATTGAGGTGCTTTTATGAAAAAGGCTTTGGGAAATATGTATTACCGCATATTTCCTCAAAAGAAAGCCTGTTATCGCCACCAAACGAATCCGGCAATAACTCTTTCAATCCGGGAACTGCGTCGAAAGCGGGACTGAGATCGGAGCCCAGAACCAGCGTCTACAATAGTTGGACATGATGATGAATGCATGCAAAGGTGTTGGAGGCTCGAGTGAGTGAGAGTCTCACTCGTGATTTGATCTTCTCATTTAACCACTCCGAGTAGAGATTGAAGAGTGTTTCGAACACCTTCGGTGCATTGTAGTATATCAGTTTCTTAATGCGGAAGGGAAGACATTCCTATAATGGAAGCAGCAATGAGGCATCACAAAGGAAGCTCAATGCAGAAGACTGTTATGACCTGCACAGTCTGAGCTATATCTGCAAATTTTGATAAAATGATTAAGTATAGTGTGCTTAAAGGGAGTGCGGTGCATTAATTTGCGAGCCCGCGTCCGAAATCACAATAGGAAGTTAAGTGTCATTGTAATGGAATGGAGGTGATGGATTACCGATGGAAAGTGTGGCAGAGTGGAGAGAATTGTCTACCTGGAAATACTTTGTTGAAATCTTTGATAACTTTGGGTCGAACATTCGCATAATATCCTCCTTGCGAAGATTTGTAAGGTCTGCAATAAAACAGACGCCGCCGATTTGTGCCCTGACATCAAGTAGGCATGCGTCGTTCCATATTTGCATTGCGCTTTGCAGCTCTGCCATCGACACCACATCCAGATTGAGGTTCTCTACGGGAATGTTACGAAAAGGACATTTTTTTTGCATTTGCATAGTTACATGTTATGCGATGATAGGGGAGCACGTGTGCCCTACATTGTGAGAACTTACCGCATTTCATCACAACGACCAGCGTCCCTTCTTGCGTGAACCCTAGGGGTACCCAGCACCTACAAAATGCAGATTAAAATCAGAAGAACACAATAACTTTACCGCATTTCTACTTTTTGCTTCCGAACGCACTTTCCTACTTGATGATTTGTGAAAAAGGTATAAACATGTCGCCATGGGCTCAAACTGAGGAAAGGTTTCCATTCTACCATAATTAAATTAGGGCTAAGGCAATACCTTGATGTCTTTATCTCATTTATAAATGGTGACAGTTGGTGCATTTGCTATAAGCATATGATTACAGTTGTTAACCCCAAAGACAAAAATATTACAATATGTCTCTAATCTCTCACTAGGATTTTGTCAGTCATTACAATAAGACAAAAGTAAATCAAGGACTATAAAAGGTTAGAATAAAATGGATTTACTTCATGTCAACAAATTCATTCCAATTCCTCCTATTGGTAGCCGGATCCTCGAACCACGCAGGATAGCCTTCAGTGGATGAGGTTCGGAAGGTGCAAAATTTGTCCAGACGACGTTGCGCTTTCATGTGGTTGTACTTTGAGTGACGCAGAAATCCCAACAAAAACATTTCATCTGCAACATTTGCAACAGATCAGCAATGTCAGACATTTGAAAGTGAGCAGAGGTAGTAAACATGAGTGTAGTGCATCCTATTTTATTTACGTGTGTTCATTAAGGCAAAACTTAATCCAAATCACACCTTCTGCATTTGTTAACTTCGTGACCTTGGTCACCGAATAAGGAGACTAGCTTTCTTCCCACTTACAGGCCTAGTATATTTCAGAGGAAAGTTCAATCGAATTGATGGATGTAGCATGACTTATGCCCGTGGTTCAAACAACGAAAGGGCAAGGTTTTGACCCAAAATTATCCTAAACGTCATATCCCTTTCTACTTATGCCAAGTTAGACATAACAATTGTGCGGTAATGCAATCAACGTACCCGTGGTACACTTCAAGTGAGGCATGGATGTGAGCCAACGTCGAAACGATTCCAGATGTGCTGCAACTTGATTAGGATCCTCTCCCAACTCCTTTGCCGCTCGCTTTTTGTAAGTGGATGACAAAGGCTTAGCTGGATCGTAGAGCGTATATTGCAGTGGTGTTGTCTTTGGCATCTCTCAGGAGTGATTGAGTAATAGAAGTTATTCGCAGTCAGTAGTTGTATTGATGGCTGTGTAACTGATCTACTCGGTGAACTCAAATGCGCTTATCAGTGTATTGTTAAGATTAAGAGCTGTCAGAACGACCTTGTCACACCCATTTCACCTCTCTGTGGTGCAACACGCAGTTAAATCTACAATCAACGTCAATGCCATTAGGTAACTCATGATGGTCCTTACATTGACTAGCGATTCTAGAGTGTGCCTTTGAGACTCAACCTTTATTTTCTTATCAATTTGTGTAGGCATAATCATAATTCTCTTTGAATTAGTGTAGATTACACACATACAATTAGCCGCATGAATAATGCATAACGCAACTGAAAGCGACATATTCAGCACTTGTTTAACCGCCTACTTGCATAACATAATGTAAATCACAGTCTTTTGCTTCACACTTCAAAATAGTAAGCCAAATATCTTCATCTTAAGTTAATGTAGGATGCAACATCAAGAATGCGAAAGGGAGCATTCAGCTCAATTTCTTTTCCTCTTGTTTAATTTCAAAACAGTCCATGGGACTTCCGAGCGACTTCCATGCGGATTTGCAACATCTGTGTCGCTAGTCAGGTAGGGACAACAGAACACCGTTTTAGGCATCTGCTACTTCACTACTCAGGTAGCGTTTGCTTGCATGCAACCTAGGAGTACCTGATGAACACGCTTCCATCTGTCACAACCCCGGTGAACGTCAATTACACACTTCATTAAGCGTATTTCGGTTTCACCGGTCAGCCAAATAGACTGCTGTACGCCAAGCGGAGGTGTGAGTAGCATCAGAGGTAAAGCAGAAAAGTGGCCAATTCAAGCTGTGACTGCAATCTAACTTTACTTGACGTCGGCTTAAGTGAGCCTCACTTCTGCAGTTGGATTTTATCGCCGCTTGGTTTACATTTACTGTGCAGCTATAAAAGCATACTCCACCTATGGCGTAGCATTTGGAGAATCACGGTTCATCGCGTTTCGTAATTACGTATGAGTTTGGCATGCCAAGGTTTCTCGTGGTGATTGAATCATTAAATTACATAAAGTTTTTGCACATTAAGCTGGCAGTTGTTGCCCTATTCCATTTCTCTAACTTGTTCCACTGCCATTACTTGCACCTCTACTGGAAACGTAGCTCCATTGACTTGAACTGGTCCATCTATCATCACAAGATCATTCCATATCTGACTCCATGAAACTCGCCTGAGCAATCAAGCCTATATTGTAGATCCCTTTTTTACACACATGGCAATGCATGATACATACATCGCCAGGACTACAGGATCCGAAGAGGAGGGCAACCGTGTCAGAAGCTGATACATTGTGAGAAATACTTGGGCGATTAAAAAAGCTGTGGAACCAAGTCACTTAATTAATAATGCACAAAGAAATGAGTGGCCAAATAATGTTTCTGAGCTATGAAATAAGTCTGTTGGATTAGTGGCAACAAAAAACTCTCGTCATTAGAGCATACAAGAGTACGTCCTAAGTGTTCGCACTGACACGATGATGTTCTAACTAAAGGCCTATGAAGGTCTGCTTGGAGAAATTTCCCAGGATCGGACACTTCCTCAAGCACATGAAGAGCTTTTCGAAAAGTGAGCACAGGACAAAGCTGTGAGAATTTGCAGTATGATAGGTAGCTGAACTGGATAGAGGAGTGTGGTCTTGGGAGGGGGTTCTGCGATTGCCGAGTTGGCTTTTTCCGTGGCTGAGGGGTCTCTGCACTCATCTCTCTGCAGCCGAAAGCTTTTGAGACCAGTAGATTTCTTACTGATCCAACAACGGAGCCTGTTGGTTAAAACACTGATAACTTTTTTACCAGTTGTGAACTGATTGTTGGCGTTCTCTCAAGTTGAATAGGACACCTCCACTGTCATGTTAGGTTATAAGTGCTTACGATGGGATAGTTCATTCTGCGTGTTGAGTTGGTGTAACCGGATTGATTTGATCCATGACTGTGTTGGTTTATTTGTCGTTAATCACAAATAAAGCGGAAATTCTAACAACTGGATTTTCCCTTTTAGTGGAGTCTAGGTTTTGGAGCTTAGTCTTTCTGCAACGACAATTTCCTACTGAATCTTGGTATGAGATGCGACTCAAACTTCAGTTAGTGGAAGCTTGACATCTCATCAGGGCTCAGGTGACTGCAGATATTCTGGTAACGTGGAGCTATTTAATGTCAGCACTCCCCCTAGTAGTGGCGACTTAACTATCAACAGTGATGGGAAGAGAGAAATGAATTTGAATTATTACTTTTTTGATTATGGTATAGGCTCGGTTAAGAGCATCGGGCTTGTGAAATTAGAACGTGCTTAGTAAGAGCATGGTATGAGTCGAGGACCAATTTAGCTCTGACATCATGTTTTGCCTTTTCTTAAACCTCCCCTTTTCCTGCTCAATGGGATGCCACCTGGGCAATCCCCTCTAGTTTAAAACAGTACACAATTGCGCAGCACTCAATTCCGTAAAATGAGTTCCACAATAAATGAATGAATGCAGAATCATTTAAAGTTGATGTATTTGTGCTTATTTCACCGCCAACAAAGTATGCATTTCCTACATGTGACATTTCGTAGCAGCTTCGAGAATTATTTTTTGGCTAAGTCCTCAGTAGTTTTGTTTATAGAGGCCAAAAACCATTACTATTAATTTCAGTCATATGTTGGAAGTGAGTCGTACGAAACACAGCAAGACTTCTTTG